TCTTCATTAAAAATCCACAATTAGCATCAGCAGCCTCATTGGTAACAATTATATTATATTAATCTATTAGTCATCTGCTTTCTGATCTTTCCCACTGATCTGATTTGTTAAAATCTCAAACAATGTCTCACAAGTTACCTACAGAAACCAGAAACCTCTGTATCTAGCCTCACTGACTGTGATCAGTCAAGGTCTTGTTGCACTCATGAGGATAAAGACACAAAAATGATGCTGCCTGCCATTGTACTGGACTTAGTTACTGCCCTGGATCCCCCATGGAGATAATCAAAGAGGGCAGCCCTGGCATAACAACACAATACTTAAAACATGCATAACGTGGCCAGAAAAAGGCAGGATGACAAATACAGTCCAATTTCTTCAGTCTCTCTAGGGATAACTCAATTAAATGGGGCAAACTCCATCACCCTAATGCCATATGTAATATCTCATCCCAAGCAAGAGAAGGAAGGAAAGCAACCAAATACTTTTTTTCCCTGTTTCTTCCAGGTGCACCCACTTGAGAGCATCCGGAAGATCAGGAGCACTGGAAGCACAAGTCCCACTTAAGCTGTTCAATTTCTTCCATTAAGGGAAGGCTACATCTCCATTGCTCCAAGGCCTTGCAAGAGCACCCTGGCTAGCACAATAACCAAGGTCATAAACAAGACCAGTGCTGAATAAACCCTTCCTTGCCCAGAGATCTTTTTATTTGTTATCAGCAATAAAAGGCTGTACTGGAATTTAAAATCTCAGCTAGGTAAAATGCCAGATAAGATTATTTAAAGGCTATAAATAGAAAAAAGAATGGCTGTACATTCATATTGTATGGCTGTGGACTCACAACTGGGTTATGAAAGAAGCCCAAAATGAGGTGAGACACAATAGAACAGAAGCTGGCCTTGAGGGAGGATTGATTTCTGACAGTAGTTCTCAAAGTTATCAAAACTGCATACCCATCTATTTGCAAGATTTTAATTGCACAATTCCTAGTGATTAAACACTGCAAGAATTTACATACTTCCATGCTCAGAATTTGAGAAGCTAAGACAATGAGAAACTTATGTTGACATAAACAGGATTCAGAGAAAACAGTATTTTTTCTCCTAAATAAGTCACTGACAGCAGATGACTGGCATCCTACATGTACTGAATATATCCAGTATCTTCAAGCTCTTCTGCTGTGAATTCATATCTATGTTGAATTTCTTCAATCCTCATTTTAACTCATGAGCAGAAGCTCAGGAAAATACATAAATTCATAAAGGAGAAAGTTGTCAGACATGCCTTAACATGCTTAGACACATGCAATAACTGAAAAATAAAGATCAATACAGAATAGTGGGCCAGAACTACAGATGGAACAAGCCAACACAGAGCCAATTCCATGCTGATTAGCAAGGAGTGACAAGGAGAAGCTTGGACTTTAGGGACACAGAGGGGAGCGTGAGACGTGATGGATAAATAGGTGTATATCCATCCACGTCCTTAGTAAGACTTGAGGTTTTGGAACTAAGAAAGAGAGGACATATGAAGATTGAACACTCCAGCAATGTCACTGTTCAAAAGCATAATCTTAATTTTTGGACTTTTGGCTAATTCTGTATCCAATTGTTAGAAATAATGGCATGCACTCTGGAAAAATAAGACATTGTACTGCTAATTCCAGATAAGTAAAATCTGGCTTGGCTTTGTTTTCTTCTGCAGTATTATCCCACTCAAGCTTATCTTTCATAAATGCTGACACAAGCTACAAGGACTTCATGTGATTTCACAAAAACCTTTTTTTCTTTTATTTTCTTTCTTTCTCTTCTTTCCAAATTATACCCACAGGTCCAATAGATACTTTCAATTGTAAAAACAGGCAGCCAGACAAGAACAGTACCAGAAACTTTATCTTAAGTATTTATTGTTATGCTAGAATATCACTCACTTTCCTCTGGGGTAATTCAGTGCTCCTGTGGGAAATATGTGACCTCATTTGCATTTTCTAATTGAATTGCTATCAGGTTTCCTGCAAGACTGAACAAAAAAGTTCCTAGAGTTACAAACACCACTTGTATTAACCAGAAAAAAAGTTTATGTTCAAGTGTTTGCTGGAGAGAAGGGGAAAATGTGTGCTTCATGTATCATAAAATAAGTTTTTAAAACATTTCCCTTCTTTGCTATCATTTCATCCTACTAGCATGAACCTTTAACGTTGAATTCTTTCATCACAGTGGTTGCCAGTGAAAACTTGCAAATTTGCCCAGGTTATTCAGTTATCTAAAGCAATTAGAACATTTATAAAACCAACACTATTAAGCAGGGGAACCTGTCATTGTATTGGAACATGCACCATTAAAATGTGACCTCACTTCTGGTCCCCCATGACTTTAGCCAGTATCCCAAAAATGCTGACTTCTCCTGTAACATATATTCTGTATTAATCTCCATAACAAACTAAATATCTAATACTGGCCACTCCAGGAGAGCTAAACATGTTTCCATGAAGCTTTAATTCCTGGATAATTGTGAAATAAAGTCTGATTGTTCCTTTCAGAGGTGATTCAAAGGGGCAGCAAGCCTCTCACCATGAGGTGGGGCTTCCCCAGCTGAGGACCAATAGTCAAGGAGAAGCCTAAAGGAACACTGAGGATGGGTGAGCAAGGCAGAAGGACTTATTTGTGCTGTAGGTGCCAGCAAACAACAGATCAGTAGGTGCAGCAAGGCAAACTTCACATCAATTATTTTTAATGTCTGGGAATTGCTCAGCATTTTCAGCAAATCAGTCACAAATTTACAAAGGAACATGGAAATGTTTGTATGCAGCAGAACAGAGAGTTGGTCTCTCTCCCTCTCTCACATCACCTCCTCCTTTCTCTCCCATACTGAATATAACACAATTGAAATGTCTTTAAATATCATGTAGTTCTGCTTGTGTCATATTATATTATACAAAATCAAATGTGAAATCTGTTTCTAGGAGCAGCCATGAAATGTAGTACATTAAGGTCACGGCCTGAAACACATTGAACTGGATACTGTTAGGTTTTGGGTTTTTTTTTAAGCATAAACACTATTATTTTTTAAAATAATTGCATAATCATATTCATTTCTTAATAAACAAAGGATTATTTTGCTTGCAAAAAGCATAAGCATTTAAATAAAACACAAGTTGGATGCCTGCTATAGGGGAACACAATAAAACTGCTTATGACCTTGTCATTAGTCTTGTTTTCCATATTTTTCCAGCCTCAAACTACACACTAATAAGGCTTTTAGAAAGAAAGGATATGAATTTTAAAAAGCTTAGCTTTGTGTTTTGAACCAGAGTTCAGCTTACATTAACATTAGATGAATTTCCAACCAAATATTTTACTACAGCAGAAATGTGTGCTTATTCAGTTTTCTTTCTGCTACACTGAGAAGAAATTCAGAGCAGTATATAAGATACCTTGCTTTGTTCTTTCAATATTTAATTACTTTTAGAAGGAAGCAGTATTTCTTTCATTAGAAAATGGCAAATACAGTTAACATAACATACAGGCTTAATTATATCTTGCACAAGACAGAGTCTTACTGAAGAGTAGCAGAATTGTATTTATATGACTCTAAGCCATGCAAAACCTCAGGGGTCAGGCAACTGCAAGATCTACGTCTCTCCAAGTCTATGGGGCAAAAATTCTCCCAAATGGCACAGACTCACATGGTGGCATTTTGACAACATGGCAGAGAAAGTCTCTCCCTCTTTTCCCCCTCCTTCCCTGCCCTCTCTGTCCAAGCACCACAGAAAAGAGCAGAGACCAGTCTTGCTATTTCTACAGCTACAGCCATGGCCAAGTGACCTTGCCCTGTCCCTGAACTACCCATGACTGTTTCCCAGCACACACACCTCCATCCTTGCTCAGCAGGTCTTCAAGATCTAGCAACAGATCAGGCTCTTCAGCCAATTTCCTGCCAAAATTGTATGTAACCACCCAACCAGCCCAGAACTGGGTTTTTTGACTGGGTGCCAGACAGCGTCTGCGTTTACGCAGTGAAGTGTAGGATCTCCAGCCCTACACTGAAAGGCAGGAGGAGAAAATGAAAAGGCAGGGAACTGCTGCTGCCAAAGATGACGCAGAAAAGGTGGGACAGAGACAGCTAGTCAAGGAGCAGACCAGAAGAAATGAGTTTTCATGGAGCAGTCCCCAGTTACAATGGAACTGCGGAGCCCACCGCTGTATTGAAGTGAAGCAATAGTGCTCTCAGACTGCTGGGCAGGGACAGATCCTTCCTGCTTCTCAGCCATGTGTACGAAACTAAAAGAGAAAGCAAGTACCTGAAACCTTCTGTGGGAAACACTGAACGGTGCTGGCTTTTCACTCTTCAGCTGTGAGGAAGGGAAGATGCTGGCATTGAGCAGAGGGGATGTTTGCCACTGGGGTGCCATTTTGTGCTTTGCTGCCTGTGCTGTGTGTGAACATATGTCCCTTATCAGGCTTGTCCTTGTGTTGGAAGGGAACTAGCCCAAATCTCTCTGGAAACCCCCATGGAGCTGCAGGGCCATGCAGATAGTTCACAGAGAGAAAGGAATCACTGTGAAAACCAGGGAGATGTCACAGCAGCATGGCAGCAGCAGTCAGTGCACGACTCCAGGTCTACACTGTCACAAAAGAAATCTGAACTTAACCTTGTATTTCTGAAGAGGATGGTTGACTAAGGCTTTGGAGAGAAGGAGGCACCCCTCATTTGCAGGTTTCATTTGAAGTTAAGAGAGACCATTACCCATGAGATGCAAATGTAAGGTATATAACCTGCAGCATATAACAGAGCCAAGCAATCACTTAAAAAGACAGAAGTGTGACCTTAAATCATTTCTGTCAGAGATGATCAAATAATTTACAAGAAATTTGCTGCTGCTGGTGTTTTCTACACAGACACATCCAATCAATCCAACTCCAAATGTACCTTTTAAAGGTTTGTTGAACACGGGCAATGGAAGAATGAAATAAGAAACAGGAGCTTTGAAGACTTCTTACCTTGTGTCCATTATGTTGTGACTTCTCTGCCACCAGAACCCTGACAATCACTTCCCATCTGCCCAGGCTCTGGGGATCCCACACAGTCACCAGGAGGATCAACTGCTTCGAGGGCATTTGCAGCTGGTGGGCAGCATACATGGTTCCATCTGCCCTCACCTTGAAGTCCAGGCTGTTCGTTTCATACCGAACCCCCTTGTTACCCGCACAGTTATTAAATTTTACTAGAAGAGAGAGCAAGAGATGGAAGAAACGTGTGAGATTGGCGTGATAAGAAAGGCAATCAAGTACAAGTTTCAGACATTTAATTTTCACTGATGTCTTCTATATCTCTAATAACCATCAAGGAAATGATTTAACTGTTTCTTCGACCTTTCAGGAGTGCTCTTGTGCTTTATCTCTGTTCCCCAGGGAAGAAGCTGTAAGCCATTTTTAAAGTATTTGATACAGTTTCATTAGATCTCAAACACAGCTGTTCCCCATTTCTACAAGTGGATTTCTCCCTTGTTGCCATTATCTTTTAAATTTGACTGGAGTCTATTACCCACACTGTGAGTATTTTTTTGCACAAAATGTTCTCCATTTCCCTAACCCTTCAATAACCTACTTACCAGATAGCCTATTTGCACATTCTTAACTGAAATTCAAAAGCCCATAACAATTCCATTATCAGAAATATAAACCCAAAAAACTTAAACAAAGAAGAAAAATGAAAACTGTTCTGTAGATTGTCTCTACTGCCAGATCCAGAGCTGCAATCCCACCCTGGCCGACCCCTCCACGCATTTCAGCTACTGCAAAGAAGAATTGTAGAACTTCACTTCACAAACCACAACTTGTCATTTAAAAGTCTGCACTGTCAGATCAAAGCTCCCCAGTAGCTGATATTTATATTTTCAGGGTTTTTTGGGGGGTTGAATTCTTTTACAGTCTAGTTTGAAAACTATTTCTATTGGCATTCTGAAACATGTCACACACATTAGGCTGGAAAAAACCCAAACTACTATATGACAAAATTGACAAATCTGATAGAAATTGAACCTGCAGCTAATCACATGGGAAACAAAACACTTCCTGCCATTCGCGTAATCCGCGGGGCGGAACACACGTGGTGAAGGAAAACATATTGTACCCATAAAAACATCTAAAGTGAGCGAGAATGGATCTGCAGCCTTCTAGCTAGGAACATTACAGGGATTCTCATGCTGTGGCTTCTGAGTGCTCAGCAGGCATGCTCCTGGCCTGCCACAAGAGAGGAAAACCTCCTGCAGCTCCAGCAGGCACCTCGTTTCTGCACAAGCAAAGCTAGGTCAGAAGAGTCTCACCTAGACTGGCTGTGGGATGAGGAGATGGGATACAGAGCAAATCCAGGCAAGAGAAGATCCTATGGCCAGTTTCCCTCTTCCCCCCATTCCATAGCTGACTGCCTCTGCAGTCCTGCTTTGAGTTGAATCAGGCGCTAATCTGGATTTAAACAAAAATAGCTGAGGGATGGCACAGCAGAAAGAAGAGAGCAGCCAGGGAGCTGCTCAAGCAGTCCTGCAGCTAAAAGCCCCTGGTACCACCACAGAATACAGAGAGGACCCTAGTTGAGAAAAGGGAAATAATAGAATCAAAGAATGGTTTGGATTGGAAGGGACCTTAAAGATCATCTAGATCCACACTCCCCTTCACCAAACTGCACCTCTCAATAACTGGGGTCCTGTGGCCATTCTTGTAACTATTAATTTTGCAAAGACCTTCTTTATTTTGACCACATTGGTATATATTTATGTGTGTGTGGTGGGAACTGTCACCTAATGCTGCAGTAACTATTGGGCACAAACACCAAATGTCACCTGTTGATTTATAAAAAAGAAGATAGTTATCTAGTATACTAAAAAATGTGGGTAATGCTTTTAAGCACTTTCATTGTCATAGACTACATCATGATTTAACTTCTAAATGGTGTGCTGGGGACAACATGTGGTCCTGCAAAACTCCATGGTGCTACCAGCAGTCAGATACATGCAATGCCAGGTCAGTTCTCAGCCCCACGCCAGGCCCTGCTCTCTTTAACAGTAAAACCACACATTTTAGACTAGACTGGAAAATAAAAATTCATGAAAGCACTGAGGTTAAACACATACATGGTCTGGTTGCACGTACAAGAACCAATGCTGCACACCTGGAGAAATCAGGATGGCCTGAAAAACCCCTCAGGCAGCTGATGCTGCCAGGGGAGACCCCTGGCATCCAGCACCCCTGGGGACCATCCTGCTGCGATATCTCGTTCATCTCTTGTGAATTTCTACAAATCTCCACTGCATTCACAGCTGTTATAAATATATACGGACACAGCAAGTTCTCTGCTGCTAATGTGATGTATTTCCAGCTCCATGCCACCAGCATTGCCCCTCAGCTGGGGCATTACTGCACACCTCTGCTCAGTGATGGCAATGCACAAACCAAGTTCCACCTCCACCTCCTGAAGTACCCACGTGTCATATCCAGAAAGACATTTGAAGAAGAGAGAAAAGAATGATAATGCCTGCACATTAAAAACAATCCTGACATTACTTTGATTTTATTGAGATTAAAAGAAAGCCCTACAGTGTGCTAGTAGTCTGAGAGAAAAAAAAAGAGTAAAATCCCTTCCTGTATGTGTACGTAGTGATTTCAGTACTCAAAGTACTTAAACATCTGCTTAAGACACAGCTCATGGCTCCAATATGCTGCTCTCGTGTCATATGTCACTGTGTCGACTTTTATGCTCCATTATCTAAAAATGGCTACCTCTTAGACAGAGTCCCCCTGTGACTTGCTAATTACTTCCATTAGTTTAAAACAAACTTGACTAGAGACAGAGAAAATCCTGAGAGAAATTAAGTCTAATTTTTTAAACAAGCAACGTCTCTGTTCCACATTGCTCTTGCCAGGTAGCATAGGTAGATGAATGCTCAGCAAGGAATTAACACGCCCAGCTCCTCTCCAAAGAGGCTTCAGGAGCTGGAAAAACAAAAAAGGCTTCAAGGACATATGGATTCCATAATGTTTAGTTACTACGAGGGACCACAGCTTGCAGAACAGCAGCAAACTGGCCAGGCCTCACCCAAGGGGCTTTGCAGAAGATTCAGCCACAGAGGGGAGACAATTCAGAACTCATCAGGGTCTGACTATTAGGGCTCAGCATGCTCAGCTGCTGCCAGGCAGAGCTGCTGCTGCTCCAGGCACTTTCATACACAGCGCAGAGAACCCATCTGCAGCACAGTGCAGACAAACTGCTCCCACGTTCACCACATGGCTGCAAGGACTCTCATTACAAATCCTGTGCTCATCCTCCTTGCTGCCCTGGGAAAATGATTCCTTGGAATGTTACGTGACTACTGAGATGTACTATTATATACATGTCTATACACACACATTGTATATATCTCATTCATATATATTGGGTTTTTTCCCAAATATATAGGTTTGGGGAAAAAAACATAAATCAAACTATTGTTCTATAATAAATAACATAGCTCAAGGAAAGGAGATCTCACCTGTATTTTCAAATTCTACCTCTTACCTCTACTCTTTGCTCTCATGGAAAAATAAATTAAAATTTCATCCCATGGAAGAAAAATTTTGGGATTTCCCCCCCTTTTTCTCCTTTAGAAAGCTCTAAGTCTGTGTCATTTGCAGTTGATCCAACTCTTATTTTTAAGATAAGGTAATAAATAAACAAACAAACAAACATTGGCTCTGTTTACTAGACTTAGATCTCTCTGTGGACACAAATCCATCTTTCTTTGACCAGTTTGAAGTCTAAAGAACACTGCATGAATTTAACATTCAAAAGCTGCAGCATCAGTAATTGGAGTTTCAGGTAAACAGCAGAGCCACAGCATCTATCATTTTTACAGGATGGTAAAAAAAGAAAACTTTTTTAATATACTCTGGAAAAATGTTCAGTGATGCTTATCGAAAGCTTATGCTGAAAACAGCATCAAATGCCTGATGAAAAGGAAACCAAGAAGGCACCCTCATTAGCAGACTTTTACATTTAACCCTTTACCCTCATCATTTTTAATTGCTTCTCTATGAAAGGAGAAGGTTTAACAATTTGATATGCTGAAACAGGCATTGAGTGATGGGCAGAAAAGCTGCAGGAGTTGGCAGCAAACTCCTGGGCATCTGAGGGGGGAAAAAAAAAAGGATTTTTCTTCAAAAAATATACAGGGTGGAAAAAAAATTCAACAAGTTGTGCATTGTTCCCTTTGACTATTTAGCTTGTTAAGCTAGCTGGACAGAGTCAAATGATCAAGCAAGGATCTTGAAAGACGTACGAATGCACTGAACTTCCTTGCCCCCCAAATGTCTGAGAAATACATTCCATTTAATAGGACTATAAATGGTATAAACCAAAGAATTCACTTTAAGCCTTATCCTTCTGGATTCCCCTTTAACTTCTCCTAGTCCATTAAAAAGTGCCCCCTCTGGCAAGCTGCACAGAGCTGGAAGAGCAGGAGGGATAATACTTTGGAACTGCTTGAAAGAGTCCAGCGCAGAGCCACAAAAATGATTAAGGGAGTGGAACATCTCCCTTCTGAGGAAAGGCTGAGGGAGCTGGGTCTCTTTAGCCTGGAGAAGAGGAGATCAAGGGGCGACCTCATCAATGTTTACAAATACGTTAAGGGCGAGTGTCAAGAGGATGGAGCCAGGCTTTGTGCAGTGATGTCCAGTGATAGGACAAGAGGCAATGGGTGCAAACTGGAACACAGGAGGTTCCACGTAAACAGTGAATAGGAACCTGTTGTCTGAGAACAGGCAAAAAACCATTCAGTTAACATTCTTGCAAACTGATTTCTCCATTAAGGGCTCATGTGAAGCACCGTGTTGGGCCTCACTGGAAATCTGTGTGTGCCTGAGAAAGTGAGTACAGAGCATAAACTTTTACGTGGCCACATTTTCAAGGCATCTTTATGTTTGTGCAACCTCTTTGTGATTCTGTGAGAAAAGTGGTTCTACAACAGTGGGAACAAACTATGGGCAGTGAATTCCCCACAGTCACAATGGAAATCCCCAGCAAAGCTGGGATCTCAATCCTGGAATTCAGGCTCCCCATTTCTCATTCTAACTGCCAGGTCATGCTGCCTCCATCACCCACATACACCCACCAAATAGAAGGTAAAACTTTTAAATAGGAAAACGGACTTTTACAGGCACTTGAAAAACGCAAATATGGGCAGATTCTTAGTCC